GTATAAATAGCATATCTAAATAGAATAGATATTATACAGGATGTGATGAACTCTCCTTGTAAAGAAGATATCTTGTTCAATAATGCTATATCAAGATAAAGTTAATAAACGATACCTTCATAAACTTGAATCATAAATCCTGGTAGATTATCGGAATATGTTGAGAAAATTTCTGATTTCTTGATAGGTATAGTTGTATTACGCTTTATAAGCAGTGTCATGACTCCGCCGGTAGTTTCAATACTAAGAGATAAAGGAGTGACATCGAAATAAAGTAAATCTTGAGTTATTTCAGAAGTATCACTAGATAAAATAGCAGCCCAAATAGCGGCACCATAGGCCGCAGCTTCATTAGGATTAACAGATTTGTTTGGTACTTTACCATTGAAAAACTCAGATACCAGCTTTTGAATTTTGGGAATATGTATTAAACCACTGACCAGGACAATTTTATGAATTGAACATTTGTCGATTTTAGAATCTCGAAGTACTTTTTTAATAGGTTCCACTGTAGATCGAAATAAGTTTTGATTCAATTCTTCAAATCTGGTACGTGTTAAGGAGGTATAGAAATCGATACCATCGAAAAGGGAATCTAACTCTAAGGAAGCTTTTAATGATGATGAAAGTTTATGTTTTGCACGTTCACAAGCTGTCCTTAATCAACGAAAAGCACGTGTATTCATTGTAAGATCTTTCTTAAATTTTCATTTGAATTCTTATAAAAAATGATTTACAAAGCGATTATCAGAATCTTCACCGCCAAGATGTGTGTCACTTGCAACAGCTTTTACTTCAAAAATTCCTTCCTCAATAGTTAGGAGAGATACATCAAAAGAGCCATCGCCTAAATCATAGATAAGAACGTTTCATTCTCCAACAGCTTTCTTATCTAAGCCATAAGAAATAGCTGCTGCAGTTGTATCAGTAATTATACGAAGTACATTTAAATCGGTGATCATACCGGCATCTATTATAGCTTGGCATTAAGATTCATTAATATAAGTTGATATTGTAATTACGGCATTTCTAACTTGCGTACCAAGATAAGCTTCTGCGGTTTCCCTCATTTTTACCAAGATCATGGAA